AGATATTCACCCGGCTCGGCCCAAATCGCCGCGGATCTGTCGAGTAGCAGTTTGGACTGACCATTGTGCCGGTCCAGTTACGGGTACTCGAGTAGTGAAAACAAAAGACTAGAGTCTAATTCAACACTCAGAGTGGCTGTATGTCGAACTGCCTCATAGAGATTGGCAATCTTCCTTGTTGGGTGATATCTTATCACAGGAGTAGTCTCAAAAAAAAGATCCCACGGCTGTCAAAAGACAAAGCCCAGAGCTTGAAGTCGTTCCCGGATTGCAAGCACTCGTCCGTCGGGACTCTCGGCAACTAAGGGACTCAAGTGAACAATGGGTTTGTTGCCGTGGATTTGATGAACAGTTGAGTGAAAGACTATGATTACCAGTTCCCGTCAACTTCGGCTTGACAGAACTTGGAGTTTTTGAGGAAGCAGAAATCAACGAGACCGAAAGAAACAAGAGATCCAAAGACCAGAAGATCTGCGGCCGATGGCATCCTGATATACTCCGTACCACTCACTGACTTAGACCGCTCCTGGGTATGGCCGTTTGGATAGTGTTTGCTTCGCCCATGCTCAACGATGACTTACCCTTCCTGCCAATAAACGGCCCTAATCTTTGGCAACACCGAGTAGATCCACATCAACCAGGGAGTATAGTATATCGAGGCACCTCCTCCGGTGCTCTGTGCAATGGAGAGACAGCTCGTACAACAGATGACATTTGCCCAGAGCCCTCCCTCATAGTCCTCCTCACCTATCAGTGCTACGCAAAAATTGTCTGGCTGGAGGCTACTAGCTTTGCGAGAATGCCACGGATAACAACAGGTGGCTTGCATGATGGCAGGATTACCATGAGGCAGCGATCCCTCACTAACATGGCATTGATGGAGCGAATCCAAACAGCGAATCCAAACGGGCTTCCAGCCTAAAATGGCAGCAGCCAGATCTAGTTGATCGGTCTTGGGCTTCCCCGGATCGTATGAGATGCAGATGGCCTCGCCTGGGTTGAACTATTCAGAACCTGAAACGAGCATCCCCACACGGACTGCCTCTATCTGGAGTGGACTGAGTCGTGTTGAAGTCATAGAAATTGCTCTTCAAGTACACAGTTGAGGGTGCGACTGTGCTGCCATGCCATACGACACTTGAAGCGAGACGTACGTCGGCCGATAAGCAAGTCCGTGCAGATCTGACACTGCAACAACCGAGCTAGTCCAAGATCCCAATCCGTTTTGTTTGTCAAACAGCTCCTGTTCCTGTCTTGGGACAATGGAAGCACTCAAGCTGTAGTCAAGAAGAGACCGTCTTAGCCCACAACAGCAAACGGATATTATGTCTGGGGCAGCAATTGGCAAACCCCACCGAGACACAAGACCTTGACAGACAAGGTCAGGCCTGCAATGGAACCACGAAGCCTAGTTGTGAATCTAAACGATTGACTGATCTAGCTTCCGTCAGAACTTGGAGTGCAGAGATATCTTTCGCTTGTCGCGCAACGTACGCTAGTCGTCAAGAAATGCAGTGACTTGCTGCTTGTGATCCAGTTGTGTAACAGGCGTGCACTACAGTAACCGACAGGTACTTCGGTATATGAAGCACGCACAGTGGCCTTTCACCTATGGAGCTCTGCGCCTTGTCCCTTGCAATTGTCTTGTCTGATCTTGTCTCATACACGGGTCATCTACAATCCATGCTAACGATCAACGAATCTCGATAGAATCGCAGCCTCTTAACCCGGTAGCTGGGTGGTGGTGGGTCTATAACCCTTGCTGGTGTGTGCGGTAATATCGAAGCCAAGATACTGTTGCAGATAGCAATGTTTCGACAACAAACACCTGAAAACGTGGTTTGCAAGGCATCAACCTAATGCTGGTGCCCATGGAAAGAAACTCTTCCCGTCAGTCCAGGGGCGAGACTGAGGCACAAACTCACCTCACAATCACAACAGCCATCTTAGGCCATTGAAACGCTGTTTGACTTGCTTTTGACGTTGCTCCATGAATTTTCTTTTCTCACGGCGAGGCTTTGCAGGTGTAAAATGCAGAATTCTGCTCCAAGTCCCACTCGTAATGCAGTATCCTGTGGCCTGCGTTTGCTTGTATTGGGTACTCTGATGCTGGAGACTGGTCCCAACACAAAAATGAAAGGCAGCACACAAACGGCGTAAGAGTGGCCACAGCTTGACGAAAAAAGGTATGCCACCGTGGCGATGGTTACACAAGAATATGCCCCAACAAATGAGCTGAGTTGTCCGGCGTTAGATCTGCAAAATCATGATACAAAGAGGTCAACTTCCCAGATGCTCAAGCCAGCAACATGCAAAAAGCAAGGAGTGGCAGCCAGGACTCTTATCCACATTGGGGACAGTCCGCCATACGGTGCGTGTTGGTGCGAGTGTAAATATAGTATGAAAGCCAGAGCCCGTATTGAAAGAGCCAAGAAGGGGCATGCGTTGCAGAAATAAAGCCAAACACTAACCACGACCAGAAACATGGGAGCCGATAGGATATCTAGGTCCGATGACTTGCAGTTGGAACAAGCTTGAGTCTACGGCTGCGCATCGAGAACAGATTTCGGTAAAGACGCCACGAGAGACGGACAGATGCTCTTCTACAGGGATTTGCTACCTGTAGCGGAGGTCTTGCCCTTGTCGTTCGTGTGGCGCGATGTCTTGCTTGCATCAAACGCATAGGGCTTCGAGCTGACACCCTTCGTGGGTCTTCCAAGGCTGAGGCACGATTCCACATCGGTGGCGCTGTTCGAGTGAATATCCCCAAACAATAGAACTGTCTCAAGTAGTAGAGGCAAAGACAAGGTCGTTTGTGATATCTCTCGTCTCCAATCCATTGACCGAACGAGGCTTGTACGAAGAATCTTAAACTTGACGCAGTAGACATCGTTCGATGTCTTCACTTCATATCATAGCTGGATCAAACAGCCGTTCTTTTGAGTCAAGGCGGTTTCAATTGGTTCTGGGGTAAGCCTTCTCAACTCAAAAAACAAACGTACATCGTATTGCGGCTCATCAGTCATGGCCAGACTGCATACACAGTACGCAAGATAACCAGCCTCATGAAGCACGCTCCCTTCTTTCCTCTCTCGTTGCCCCACAATCTGTGAGAAGACAACGCCAATTCTCAACAGAGAAGACAGCCCGTGATGATACAGCAAGCGCAGCATTCAGGGCGGAAATTTCTTTCAGCAATAACCCGACGAGATGCTGTTCGCCCAAATGCCATTTAAGGGTGTGACCCATGAAGCTGCGTCTACCCGCGCTGTGCTTCCACCAATAAATACTATTGGTCACTCAGCCAAGGGGTTCACCTAGAAACCTCTCGTGGTCCACTAAAGGACGAGGATAAACTGCTTGATGGCTGACCAAAACTCCGTTCAACTGGGATTTTATGCCCTTGATTGTAGCAATGATCTGTAGCGATCCGCAAAACAGTCGCGGGGAAGCTCGATATGAAGATCCGGAGGTTGGATCACATGCAGAGAACAATCTGAAACTGCTTCCTTAGCAGAAACATCACAAGGCCACTGGCCTATATTGATTCTATGTCGGCTCCCGTTGGAGACTGAAATCGCAGTCAAGCCCGCCCCATGGCCGCTAAACCTGGCGGACGGGGCTTTGGCGTCTCGCAGTTGCACATCTCCACAAGTTTTGCCTGAACAATTTCATGCTTGGGCATGGCGTGTCGGCGTCACTACATGGGCCAAAGTACACAACACTGACCGATCAGAACTTACTATCTTGTCGTCTTATTGACGGATGGGTCCCCGAGCCATGTATGACCAAAGCTGCAATGATGCAATTGCCAGGCAACATTGCTTCTGCTTCGGTCATCGGTCCTCGAAATCCGTAGCTCGTGTTGTTGAAAGATATCGGAGTACCTCAACGTAGTACAGCCAATCTTCCCCAGTCATTGTTACCAGTACCGAGCTCATTGGCGATCTGAGACAACCGTATTGATCCATCTACGTACCCTGGGCAGCAGCCGCATCTCTCAGCCCAGAGCTTGTTCAAGGAATCTTCGTTGACTTAGACAGCTCAGGTGACAGGGCTCGGGCTCGACATTTGTCGAATAAGCCCAAGCTCGACCGTAGCAAGCCTTACTTGGGTGTTACATAGTCTTCGATGTGGTGAATACATGGCGGTCTCACCAACGTGCCTTGCATTGATGAGCTGGAGTTTGTGCCCGCCCGTGTCTCTAGAAGGCACAGGAGAAGCAATCATAGCCGAGAATGACGGGTTTTGATCTATAGGTAGAGAAGAAGAGACAGATTCTGGAGTGTTCGACTGAATGGCAGACAGCCAGCAAGCTCGTACAAAAAACAGTATTTGGATGTAAAGCCAAACATATTGTGGGGTGGTCTATAATGTCTGGATGCTTTGACGAGAGTGGATTCCCCTGGTTGAGCGTTGTGATCTGCTGAACGTCCAAAACAGACCTTTCGGGTATGACAACGTCAAAAGTGTTGGTGGTAGCTTAGGGATATCGCCGGCAAGTGATTCCATGGCAAAAAGAGATGGGGTAGGCCCGGAGATCTTATTCAGAGCGACGCCGTCGTCGCTCAACAGCGAGAGACAGATCCTCCCCGCCGACCCACGGTCATCGGTACATTTCGGTCAGAATAACGTCGCTCATGCGTAGACGGTGTTCAGTGCGTGCTCAACTGAGCAGCCCACGTCGTTTTCCGTTGCTTGGGGCAGATGCTCCGGTGAAGGACGGTATGTGAGATGAGAGGAAGTTGGTGTTTGCATATCACGAAGTAAAGCATTGGATTCAACGAGGTTCTCTGTCAAGGTAGCTGTCAAACTCGTGTTATGGGGATATTCCATTTTCGTGTAATGCCGTACGATGCATTCCGTATTAAAATTAGCTGAAGCTGTTGCATAGCAGAGTAACGCTGAACGATTGCCGTCAATGGTATTGCGCCTCATGGCGCCAGTGCTTTTGAGCGTTGCACTGCTGTGATGCGTTTCGCAATCCACCCAGTCCTTCCTTATCTCCTTGACCTGCGATCATAATCGTCCCGTCCATATCGATCCCTTTCTCTACCTCGGTCTCGGCGGTCATGGCCACGGTCCCGATATCGGTTCCTATCATGATCTCTATCGCGCCGGTCGCCTTGACGGTCATCTCGTGGTTTGCGATATCGATCCCGACTTCGATCTCTTGGACGCGGACTCCGACTTCGACTTCGTCGACGTGATGGCCCTTCATCATGATAGGATTTCGGAGGAGGTACATCATCCTTCTCCTGGTTCTGTCCACTGCGCCCCATTTTGCCTTTCATTTCCTCTTCCCCGTGAACCATTCTGTAATTACCACCCGTAATCCTTTCTCCCTCATCTCGGTATTGTCGGCGCTTCTCGAGCTCATCCACACCTCCCCATCCGCCTCGATGAGCAGTCGCCCTTCGCTTGCTGTTCGTATCTTTTCGCCACACATCGCTCAGTTTGCTGACACTCTGAGAGAAGTCGACATGAATGCGGCGATCGTCGATGAGAACGTCCTGCATCTTGAAGTAGGCTGTCTCGCATGACGCCTTGTCTTCGAATTCGATGAATGCATATTGTAAACTGTCGCCAGTCTTTTGGTCTCTGATAACTTCGCAACTCAAAATCTTGCCGAAACGGCCAAAGATGAGCTCCAAATCTTCGTCACCAGTCACGGGGTTCAGTTTGCAAACGAATAAAACGTTCTCAGGAGGTTTGACCTCTGCAAATGGCAAATCTCCCATCATTTCCAGAGTGAGAGCTTGCGCCTGTGCCTCGCGATTGCGACGCCTCCTTTCTAACTCTTCCTCATCGACACCGTCATCAGCGTGCAATGCTGCCTCATCTTCGATTCGAACAGTCTTCAACTGCTGAGCGGTCGGAGGGGGACTCGAGCTCGGTTCCCTCAAGCCAGGCGGGTCGGGGTAGGGATCGTCCAGAATAACCGTATGCTTGATTCGAATGTCGATAAGCGGGTAGCCTTTCTCGTCTACAATCGCCTCATTGACCTTGTCCAGCACTTCAAAGCCTTCGACAACTTTTCCAAAGACCGCTGCCCTTCCATCCAAATAGTCCGTGTCTTCGCCCAATGTGACAATGAACTGAGATCCAGCCACACGTGTATCAGGGTCGGACTGGAGGGGCGCCGTAGCCATGCTGACTGTTCCTCGCTCCAAGTGTTTCAACTTGGGGTGGAAGAAGGCCGGGAATGTTCGTTTCGCCGCGTCACCGGATAGATGACCCCATATTGAAGAGCCGCCATCAGAATCTTTGGAAAGAGGGCCGAGAGGATCGCCGGTTTGGAAGGAGAAGTTCTTCTGAACAGAATGAACAGGCGCGAAGTTGTAGTATTTGACCTTGCAGAGTTTCAGAAAGCTACATCATCTGTTAGTTCAGCGACTCGGTGATATAAACAATACAAGGTGGCATCGGGATGACTTACTTTTCGCAAAGTTTGGGTGCATGGTCAACCAGAAGATCGATGACAATGTCGCCTTCGCTGGTCTCCAAGAGAACTGACATGACAACGGATGGTATCTCCTCTCTTACGCGATACCGAATTAGTTGATTGAATGCGAAAAGAGGTTGTGAAGAGAAGGACGCGTTGTTCCAAGAATATCTAAATGGAAGGTTGTATGAGGTACCTGCTCCAGCCACTCACCTCACTGTCAAGAAGGTTTCCAGAAGGCGGCCATTTTGGGAGCCTTCTGGAAAGCGCCACAGGTGGCGCTTTCCAAATTACATAAGCACACGATGACTTCAAGTTCACCAGAACAGCATCTCATTGTGAGCATGTCATATCCATTCGTGACAAAACTTACGATCTGTATTTGCATGTAATTTTTTGGGGGCCTTACATAATGTTTCTCGGTATCACCTACAGACAGGCTGCTTCCTCAAGCAACGTCTTCGTTCTCGTTTCAATGATGCTCAGTCTTACATCGGATATTCCACTTCGACGTTCCTGGCATATTGAACAACATTCTGGTATTCTCACATAGTCCCCTCAACCAGTTTTCTGTACCGTGCGCCTTTCACAGGGCCAAATCACTCCTCCCTACAAGAAAAGAATCTCCAGCAAGCCTAACAGGCTCAACTACCGATACTCTACCTATCATGTGGATCAAACTCTAAGAAAACGGCTCTCAGCTTTAATCCTCATCCTTGTTTTACCCAGCCCACAAGAACCGCTAAAATGACGTTTTAGCGAGAACCCTTATCCTTTAAACAAAAAAGTTTTTCTCTTGTTCTGACGATATGTAGAATGGAGTGCCAAGGGGGCGTATACATGGAGCAAAATGTCCGGATCGCCGCCTGTCAAACCCCATGACTGGCAAGGATTTTTGTTTCTAGGTGAGACTCTTTGTTTCTGGAAGGTGAAGATATCCCGATCTCGATGTTCCTGCGCAGTTGACCTATTTACGTCATATCATGTCAAGGCTCTGGGTTTGACGGTCCGGGATAAAACATCATATGTGCCCTATCAGAAATGTCTTGGCTGTTTGAAGAAACACCGTTGGAGGAGCGTTGTCGGTTTGCTGTGGTGATCGACAACGGGTTTCAAGTCATTCTCATCAGTGATCTGAGGTGACGTCTCGGTGAACCGCGTAGAGAGTCATCCACGGGAGCGCTAGGGTAGGTTTCCCGGTACGTCTTCGAGGCTCAAAGTGGATGTGAAGATCATGGTTGTCCTGCTTCATGTAAGACGGGAATGACATGGTTTCCCCATAACGACAACCCTGCTTCGCCTTCAGCAATGACTGTTCACCCGGAGCAACTGCTCAACGATCCTCATCTCAGCCAAAGCTCAAAGGCTGTTCTTTATCCAGTGATGTAACAATCACTAGAACCAAACCGCCCAGGCCACCCTATAGCATCATAGCACCCGCTTTGCCTTCAGCTTGTGCCGTGCTGTAATATATCGAAAAACCTGCTTGCCAATTAACGTCACAGTTCCTGACGGTCATGCTACAGTACCACACACTCACCTACACTCAACATCTTTCACCTCTCGGTGTGCACAACCTCGTCGATCCTCAGGCCTAGACCACTTCAGCGGTGTACGCAGTGGCAAAAAGTGAACTCCCCGATCGTGATCGATTGAGCCCAAGCGCACTGGTAGCTCATATCAGATACATTCTTAGCGCAGAATCGTTATCACAAAAGAAGCGCCCGGGCGCTTAATTACTTGAAGAAATCTTGAGTTAGCGAGTGTGCACGAGATGATCTTCATTTCCCCCAACGGCTTTTTGATGCAACAGGGGGGAGGTCTTAAAGGACGATCTCTGTGGGTAAGACGCGTGTTTTTTTTTTCCCTCGCTATCTATCTATGTAGATTTTGCAGTTCCAATAACAGCGAGCGGGGCCGGCCGGAGGTGCATTTGGGGGAGAGGGGGAACTTCGGGGTAGACAAGTGTAATTGGATGTTTTGCATTTTGGGGTCATAGCATTCTTGGAGTTATGTGGTAGACCGGGTGATGATACCCGGGAATGCATTCACTTTACAAAGATGAGAGCTTGAATTGATAAGGCTGTTTTGCGAAATTGCATTCATTTGTACTGTTTGATGCTATCGCTAACAAGACTAATGACTCCTCCTCGGGAGATCTTCATGACGGTAATGTAATAAACTTGTGGCGTTTTTTCATGCCTCCGAGATCCAGCGTGGCTTTCGCAAGAATGTAAATGAAAGTTTAAAGATAAAAAAGCCACGGAGAGCGGATCCCTCGATATGCAGGTTGCTTGGTTCTGCAGAACCTAAAAATGAAGTAATAGACAAGAAGCGAAGATTGTGTGTAAGTCGAGTGGGTATGGGGAAGAAACAAAGACGAATAAACCCCCCAAGAATTGCTTTTTCGCAAAGCATGCTGTAGTATGTCCCTAGTCCGATATTGCCCAGAATGTGCGTAACAATGTCAGCCTTTCCCTTCTCTTCCCAGCTCGAGTTGAGACCGTAAACGCCTTCGCCAATGCAGATAAAAAAGACAAATGAGAGGTATTAGAATTAATGCCAAGTTTTTGTTGTGTTGGGGGGGCGTATATTGCCACCGCGCAAGTCTACCATTGACATTGCGTGAATGTATCGACATGATGTGATGGCGAAAAGTATACGAGTAAGTATTTTCAGTTTTACTCGTTTCCAGAGCTTCGTCGCCTTCGTCCGCTACGAAGCTCTTTCTCAGTCTCCATGAGTCTTGTCTGTACCCATGTTCTAAACGCCCGGTCGGCGCGAACACTACTGCAGTTGAGAAGCTCTGTCAGAGTGCGCTTGATGCTCTCGTTGACCTCCGAGAGGCGCTGCTCTTCCGCTGAAATCTCGTAGATGGTCTCCTCATCGGGAATCGTGGTGAGTTCATTGCGGTCCTCCCAGCCGCTGCAGCGGGCGTGGGAGCGCGAGTGGTGTCGTCCGCTCCGGGAGTGGCGCTTCGGTGAGGGCGGGAGCGAGAGTGATGAGGAGGAGGATCGGGTTGGCGATGTGGATGGTGAGGAATTGTGGGAACAGTTTGACATGTTGAACTCGGGTCGGATCTGGTCGAGGCGATCGCATAGTTCTTGGTGTTGCTCTGTCAGAAGCATGTACTTCTGAAGAGCAAGGGTATATGACTGTGCGCCGGTGGATGCCATTTTTGATGCTGGACTTGTTGAATATGAAGCCGGTGTGCTACTGATGCTCGATACTGATGTTGATCGGTTGTGCCCGGAGAAGAAATGGGGTCTCACGTCTAATGACGAGACCATCGAAGCGATTATGTAGTAATTGGTAAGATGATGTATAAGATTGGGCCGCGGTTATAGTGTCGTCGCCAACACTTAGAGTCAGGTCGTCCAGTGTATAAATATTCTTGTGACCTTTTGCCGGTGCAGTGTATCGTAAATGCAAGCTGCAATGTAAGATGTAGGTACTAGGTGTCGATCGTCGGATAATACGTCGTGGTTGCTCAAAGCTGAAGGGGGCCAATCTCAGGCTTGTATAGAAAACGTGTGGGTGGTTATATGATAGGAGCTTGGAATGTCCACGATACACGAGCAGTCAACTGACTATATGTGAGAGTAAGATGGATGAGTATGAGGGATCAAGAATTGATGTGACGGGGGTGCTGGGTATAGTTATACTGAAGCTTGTTGATGGATGATAAGAAGTAGTATGATGCTCATGTTATGGGGGGAGCAGGGTGGTTCATTAATAAAGATATGGATTGGCACTCCCGCTAGAATACAGTAGCTGCGCTACGGTCGATGCGGTATGTAACTTACGGGAGGGGTCAGCAAATAGATTGGAACTGGACTGAACTGATGGAATTTGACTGAAGCTTGTAGGGGGTAGGTTAGAGTAGGGGTGAGTATCAAATGTACCAAGTACGAGATCCAGGTACGCCAGTCCCCAAGCCTTGGAATGGGAAATGAAGGGGAATCTTCAGGTCTCGACCAACGAGTCAGCACCAGGAACCGCTATATCTGAAGGTAGAAGATACAACCATCATCCCCTGCCCACCATTTAGAGCCCTTGTCCACTGTAAGTCTAGCTCTCACACTCTGTTTTCTTCTCTCTCGTCTTGCTTGTTCATTATGAGTTAAGACCGTGTCATTCTAGCCGCTGAATGGCAAACTCGGACTCACTGAAGCTAGCCCGAAGCCACGGGGGAGGGGGCGCCGGCCCCCTCCTATTGGGACACCTGGGAAATCAAGACTAGAGAGAAGAACAGGGATTGACAGAAGATCCTGGGCATCAAGCTTTGGTTGTGGATCCGCTGGCGATGTGACGGGATGCGCTGCGATTATGATGTGTGCGCTGTGGGTGGTGTGAAGCCCTTTTTTTAGACTGGCCATGTACTGCACTGTATTCAGGTTGACACAGTGCTATTCCTGGTTTGCGTTCCGAAGCTCTTGAACAGAATGGAAGGGTCTGATAAGTTCTCACCGGGTTCTTTGGGTTGGGTTACTTTGGTGAGTTGTCGTTGACAACGTTAATCGCCGTGTAGCTCTCGCGCCATCATCCACCTCAATGAGCATGATTTCAGATGTTGATATCGAGACATTTCATGTCTTGCTACTCCCAAAAACGGTTGGCTGCTTATAAGCTCACCCAACTAGCAGCTAACCGATGTTCCAGGACATGAGACAGCGAGGTTTTTCTTATTCATGAGTTTCCGATTCAGACTCGATCTAGAGCTCTTTTCCTTGCTTGATGTTACTGTAGATATATCATAGCGTACGTGGAAAGTGGATTAATTCCCCATTGATATGGAGACGCAAACTCGTTCGTCTGTGCATACATTTCACGATACTGTCTTCTCCCCGGTTGAGCCCGCTGCAGAAGGCAAAGAAGCTTAGGACCCGGAGCTTAAGGGATAAAAATATTTAGGTAAATTAGGTTAAGCTTAGGAGCCTCTTTGCTAAATTTATTTTTGCACTCTAATGGCAAGTCAAATGGCATGGGTCAGACCAGGTCCGGAGTTTGAGCGAGATATGGCTGATATTGAAGCACGACGATGCAGTGCTTGCCTGCTTACTGCACACTATAC